ACAAGGTTTCAGGTGATATTAGCTAAAACTCATCCTGATTTATTTCAAACAAACCTCATCAAACATTCTGACTGTTGATTTCTGTGGCAATCAGACAGATGGGCCTCAAGATCAATGCTTCTGGACTACAAACATCGCATCACGACATCAAAAGATCTGCGCTCCTCTCACACACACACACACACACACACACACACACACACACACACTTTCTCCTCGTCTAAATCTATACAATCCATTATTAACATGTTTCCTGCCAGACAAAGACACAGGTAGATGATAAAATATAGAGAAATAAAAGACAAAATAAGAGAAAAGGTTAAATTATTGAATTCAGGGCGCTCTCTTCGAAATAAAAAGACACACAGAGGCGAAGGGAAGGAGAGAGAATCTATATTGTTTTTTGGAAAGGGAAGGTGGAAAGTAGGTTAGAAAAGAAAGGCGAGGGGAGAGAGGAAGAGTGGCATCAAAGAGAGAAAGTTGAACAAAGTCAGCGACACGCCAGGAGTCGACTCATGCGACATGGGAGAGGGGAAAAAAGACCCACATCAGAACGTATCACACCTCCGTCATCAAACCAACACTCAGAGAGAGAGAGAGAGAGAGGAGAGAGGTATGAAGGTAGGAAGTAAGGAAGGAAGGAAGCTATAAAGGAGGGAGGAAGAAAAATGAGGAGAGAAAACAATAAAGCAAAAGAGAAAAAATACAGAAAAAAATGCGTGAAAGGAAATAATAAAGAAAGAAATAAAGTAAGTCAGTTTATAGATTTATAGATATGGACAGCACATTTGTCCCCATGCAAGGATTAGCTAACGTAGCCATTAGCAGCGCGTTGTTTGGCAATTTTATCATCTACGTCGGTGAATTAAGGATTTATTTCCACCAAACCAAGACGAACAAAGATGCTTTAGGTAAGGTTTTATTTTCTTATCTTTTTTTATTATATTATGTTGCAATGTCAATGACAACGTCTGCTAGCTAAAATGAGTGTTTTTGTCTCTGGAGTCTGGTGGAGAGTGATAGTGATATTACGGCTGTTTGTGGTTAAACTAAAGGTCTATCTCTGTAGGGATCCTTTCCATAATGCTGTCAGACACTGACAATAACAACCTGAGTCTGTCAGTGGCAGAAACAACGTCTTTTCTTTGACGGGCACATTTGTCCCCAAGGATTAGCTAACATTACCTGGCAGCACATTTCGCCAATATTTTCTCATCTAACTCCGTGAATTAAGGATTTATTTCAACCAAACTAGGGTTGGTGATTGTTGGAAAGACTAACAAAGACACTTTTGGTCAGTTTTATTTTGTTTCTGTACAGTATGAAGTGTATTTTAGGATTATCTGCGAGGTAAAATTATTAGTTTTGTCAATAGAGTCTGGTGGGTTTTAATCTCAGATGCTGCTGATCTAGTGCGACATCTAGTGGCAACTGAACTTCATATATATAACCTTTGTTGTGTGGTTAGTGTTGGGGAAAGATTGCAGTCTCTCATGTCCCATCCAACCCCCCCGACCTCCTCTCTCTCTCTCTCTCTCTCTCTCTCTCTCTCTCTCTCTCTCTCTGTGGCTTCCTCCTCTCCTCCTGTCACTTGGATGCAAACACACATTGTTCTGGGGCATTTGCTGAAATGACTAATGCTGTCATTTCTCTCGGAAGGAGAGTTACAATCGAGTAGTTTGGTGTCTTCGTCCTGCTGATGGAGGTAGCAGCAAAACACAGACTTCCTGTTTGTTCAGTCAGATAATGACACCTCCCCCTTTCTTCTCCTCCTCCTCTCTAATGCCAGTAAACAAGACTCAAACAAACTGCCTCTCCTCTTTCTCTGTTCCCTCCATTTTCCTCCAGCACACCAAATCCTTATTCTCTCTCCCCCTCTCTCTCTCTCTCTCTCTCGCTCAGGTACCATTTGAATAACAGCAGCTCCCTGTTGTGTGTGTGTGTGTGTGTGTGTGTGTGTGTGTGTGTGTGTGTGGTTTGTGTGGGTTAGAGAGCAGTGGGTGAGCTCTCCCTGGTACATCTGTCTCTTTTAGTTTACAACCACTCTGCTAACTTACACACACACACACACACACACACACAGCAACACAAAAAGAAGGAATCACACATGCATGTAAATACATACTTCCACTGAGAAACACACGTAATTCAAGTAAATGCGCACCGTATCCAAAGATACCTTTACATGTAAATGTATGATGGTATCCACACACACACTCACACACACACACACACACACACACACACACACACACACACACACACACAGGGAGCTGTAAGCAGAGTAGACAGGTGGAGTGTATATCAGGGGCCTCTGCGGCCACCCGGCTCCTCCACCATTTATCTCAATTTCACCTTCTAGACACACACACATGCTCTTAACATTAGAAAATACAGCCAGAAAAAGTGAGAGACACACACCATGCACACACACACACACACACACACAGTCTCTATTGTGCCTATCCCACAGAGGTGTCTGTTAAAATTGGGTTTTCACCTCAAACATTCTGCAGGTAGCCGTTCTGAATTATAGTGGCAGGTAACCATAGCAACAGCAATGATGCTTTAGACTGTGTTAGCAGTTAGCTGACCTACTGTTTGTTGCAAGCTTCTCTAAATCACATACAATAGACTGATCTGGGGTCAAACTGTACTCCTCTTTTACTCCAGAGTTGTTTCAGTTACTCTTTCCGCTGTGATGGGAATGCAGTAAATGCCCCCTTTGTAAAGCACTGATGAAGTATTGACTCCAAAACTGATTTATACTTTGCAAAGAAGTATTACAAACACAAAGCTGAATTTTCCTGCTGCCTGACTCCCTTCGTATCAGTGTTGGGCAAGGAATGAATAGTAATAATATTACAGCAATAATATTACTTCCCCAGTTAATAGTAGTGTTACTACTGATTTCAAACAATCCAATCCCATACTTGGATTCATTTTTGTAACTGTAACAATAAATTACATTTTTTAAGTAACCATCCCAAAAATGTTCAGTATGATGTAAACTCTCTTTATGTATCGCTTTATTTTTACCTTTAAAACTCACTGACTGTAATACAACGTGTAAAACCTGCACTTCACAAAACTGATTCCTTTTAGACGTCTCGATTATACTTAAGTATGAAATATGAAATATTGTATCAATTCTCATAAACACTGTATGGATTCTGTGGTTAGACCCTGTGTTAACTGAGGTCTATGGTGGTGGATGTAACAGTGACTGTACTATGACAGTTTGGTAAAACTGTGGGTTTTTAGCTTACAGTAGCGTAATATATCACAATATACTGAATCGTCACCCCTGTGTCGTGATACGTATCGTATCGCTGGATCCTTGCTGTTTTTTTATTGATCACTATTGATTACTCAGACTGTACCTTTAATATAAACACACCACAGATATACAAGTGTATCAGATGTGTGTGAAAAGGCCTCTCATTTTGTGTGTGTGTGTGTTTATACTGCCTAAATGGTGTTAAGCTCGTCCTATAATGAGCTATTAACTGCCGTCTCCTTTCAGCTCTCCGCCTGACTCTGACACAAATCCCTCCTTTATTCTCCAGTACTGTAATCCACCACACACACACACACGCACACACACACACACACACACACACACACACACACACACACGGAACACGAACGCACCACAACATCAACCACAATGCATCAGGCCTCAGTTCACTTCCTGGTGTCAAATCCCCTCTTCTCTCTGTTCACTGACAAAGACCTCTGAGGAGGGAGGGAGGGAGGAGAGGGGAGAGAAAGGTACAGAAAGAGGGAGTCGGAAAGAGGAGGGAGGGATGACGGATTGAAGAGGAATGATACGATTTTATGGCAGCGTTTGACAAAAGCTGCAATCCAGACTGCAGTCAACACACACACACACTCACACACACACACACACACACACACTGATACACTTAACACACAAAGATAAAGACACTCACACACTCACACAGACAGCAGGAAGATTTACACATAACTGTAGACACACAAAAACACACAACACAAACAATCTGCTGTTGCTAAGACTTAACAAATAACAGTGAATTATGCTCAGCAGCAGGACCGATACATATCCAGATACATGAGCTGCGATACGATTCAGGGACAATGCATTTTAATATGGATTCAATGCAGTCTGATACAGTTCTTTACATATAGTTAATGTAGACATCTATTTTACATTCTAAATTATAATAAACCAGTAATATAAACGTGACATTGCTTACCTTTAATTAGACATATTTTAAAAAATACCAGAGAATCTCTTTTCTTTATGGGAAAAAAATGGAAGACAAATGTCTCATCATGTCATGTTTATTGCTTTTCTCATCTATAACGTTAAAACCGACACAGTGTGGAAGAAGATACCAATTATGATCACTGAAGCACCCAGTGAGGCAAGTTTTAAAAGACTTCTCATAAATAATCCAAATGTTAAAAAACTGACAGCTAAGATGGAACGTCCCTGGATGTGCTGTAATGTTTACTTATTTTACTATATATTCTTTGTATGGATGTTTTGTTGTGTGCAGATCGCATTAAGAGTAGTTGTTACCTTGGTGGCAGCTAATGCTAATCCAAGAATAAAAACTAAAACAAACGGGGGTCCTCTTCTGGTGGGGTCCGCCATGTTGAGCCACCATGTTTCTAGCCCAGAACGGACAAATCGAACACTCTAGACACGCTCTACATTTGGCCTTTTGCATTTTTAATGAGTGTGATAGCTCCTTTTCCCTGCATTTGAAATAAGGACCTTTTTGATTTAATTGACATCCAGAGACTATGCTAAGCTAAGCTAACCATAAAGAGACAAGAAAACCCTCCATATGTTTGACTAGGTAGAACACCCCCCCGAAAAAAAACAGAAGTAGTCCCACCAACACCGGCTCCATCACATCAGGTCAACAACAACAGCAAACATTCACACTGCTCACACACTACTACCACTACTAACTTCTACTACTACTGCTACTAGCAAACGTTACCATGGTGAGGAGGTATGCTGCTGGCCGGCCAGGTGAAGGGTCTTGGGCCGGGCGGCGGAGCAGCTGCCTGCATTAGCCGGCCGCTCCCAGTAGGGGTCACTGTGAAACACACAAAAAAACGTGAAGAGGTTCTTTAAACGACAGACGTAAGAAACAACGAGCAGGAGAAGAGGAGGAGGAGGAGGAAGAGAGAAATTATGATGAATCAAGAAGCAAGTAAAAAGAAATACAAGAAAACAGAAGGAAAGACAAGAAATGACAAAGGATTAAAAGAATTATACACAGCAAAATGCAATGTTTACACCCAGTTAGAGAACATAATGTAAAACAAGTTGCAGCAAAATATATTTAGACAAGCAGATAATGATAATTTGGTTACAGCTTCATGTGGAAATGATGAACAATTGGGCATTTTTAGCTCAGTGGACAAAAAAAAACAACCTTCCTGACCTTTCTTAAGGTCTTAAAAATTCTGAAAAAACCCCAGTCCAGCACCCTGATCCCTAACTGAATACCCCCGAACAGGGAGCAGACTCACACTGTGCAACCAAACATTAATCAAACCCACAGAATTTTATGTTAAATTCCAGCGGAGATCAAAAACTTTCCAAATATACCAAACATGTCAGGCTGGATTTTGAGGAAATGTGTATGAAACACACAGGGAATAGGGAAGAACTGACCTGCTAGGAGGCCCAGGGGGTAAACATGAGGTGTGGACCCCCCACTGACCACCTCTCACTCTGCGTGCATTATAAACCTGTACCCCGCTGCCTCGGAGTACCCACAGTGCACAACACATGGAAGCTCCATGTTTTACCTTGAGCGCCAGACACAGACCAGTTCTCCTCTTCTGGGAGAGTCACTCAACCCTTTTTACAGGACAAGGCCCCAGGATTAGGTAATAATGCCGGAGCCACCTTGATCCAGATCCTTTGAACCAGAGTATCAGTGTCTTCTGATTTTTATCACTCGTTTCTGTCTCCAAGCATCGCTGGAGTTTTTAACCATTACCATGCAAAATGAATCGAAGTACAATAAATAAATGACCAACTTTGTTAAGTCAGGGTTCAACGTCAAACTTTCACTTTACTCCGTTTGGGTAAGTAGGTCAGAAGTCCTGTAGTACATTGTTACTTTACCTTTGCAAGTTGTTTTTAACTTTGCTGCCATGAAACGTTTTTCGGACACTTAACGTGCCTTTGAAAAACGCCCCCATTGTTATCGGCCTTGCTCTCAAATTTGCGGCAAACCGCGTAAGACAGAGTTGGGAGTTTCACCCACATCCTGTTAACACCAAAAAAAGGCAAGAGGTCGATCAGTACTGTGCATGTGCATCTCTCAACAGAGAAGAGAGGAAAGTGAGATGGCTCATTCTTTCACTAATTCCATCATCAGGAAGAAATTATGAGTTTCATTCCTTTTGAGTTTTTTTATTTTACTTACCCTGGATAATCCTTAACCCCTAAATTCCACCGGGCACAGCGCATTCATTCAATGTAAACATCATACAGCGTCAGTGGGAAGCTGATACAAACTGACACGGATGAGGATTTAACAACCTTAAATCTACAAACGGGATGATAAGGCTGAAAGACAAGTCTGAGCATTTGTATAAAAACTTGTACCCAAGCTTTTTAAACCCCAATGAAGTCCAGGAAGGCAATGAAAGAAAGCATTTAATTTAACTTTTGTCCTTGTCCATGAATAAAACTCTTCTATTTATCCGTATGCTCAAACTGAAATCTCTCGTTGGCTGGTTAAAAGTGTCTGGTGAATTTCGACATGTACCTGCCAGCGCGGCTGGTCAAGTAGAACAGCTCCTGCCTTTGGAAATATTCAAAAAAATAAATAAACCTCCAGTTTTTTTGTTTTTTTTTTCTTTCCTGAGAAGCTAAACCCCGCCGAGTGGGACTCGAAGTGACACGGAGTCAAATACAAAATACAAAGCAGCCCCAAAGTGACTGTCTATGCACAGTGAATTATTTGAATTTTACACACCCACCAAAGACAGGCTGTCAAAACCCATGCCGGAATGGATTTTTCATACGGAGAGAGGGAGCGAGGGAGAGCCGAGGAGAATAAAAGAGGAGAGGAGGAAAAAAAAAAAAACAGGAGGCGGAAAGGGGGCGAGAGACACCAGGAGAGACAGGCAGGAGGAGGAGAGAGCGAGGGAGAGGCAGTGAAGCGGTGCTGGCTTGCAGGAGAACATTAGCTGCACTGTGTAGCGCACCATAAAACCATTGACATTGTCGGTCTTGCTTTGTGGACGAGTATTATTGTAAAACACAGTTTTCTGAGGCGAGCCGGCCGCTATTGTTCTTGTCAGAGGGTGAAGCGAGGGCACCGCCGGCATAACTTATTTCACTTTTAAAGCTATACGGGAGGAGGCAGAGAGAGTTGGTTTTCAAATTAAACCACCGAGATGTAAGTCCAGAGATTGTATTACTTTTAGATTTGATCTCTTGATGCATGACTAGGAAACATATCGCTGCTGTCGGGGGGGAGACAAAAAAAAAAACAAAGATAAAAAGAAAGCAGACATCTGCAAGAAGAAAAGCAGGTTTGTTCTCAGGGAGGTCGGTGTACTTTGCTGATTATACAGCGAGGTTTAAGCAGGTTTCAAGAGACGGAGAGTCTGACTCAACCCAGGAACGATCATATCAACTTCCAGACCACGTAACAGAAACAAGTGGATTATTAGAGTTTAGGTATTTGCACAGTAAACCCGACTTTTAACAAAAATGAAACTTGGGGTAAATAGATAAGTTATCATCAAATATCACATGAGACTGAATCTCTGACTGAAATCTGACAAACTTAAAGACAAAACTGATGAGATCAGGTTGAATGCAGAAGCAAAATACACTGATAACCCCTCTTCCTCGATGTAAGAAAACCAGAAAAATACGCACAGAAGGTCTATATCTCAGCATTTGGTTCATTTCTGTGAAGAAAAGTAAATGTAAAGTGAAGTAAATTGTTATTTAAAAAGAAAATTCAGATTACGATTTAACATCCAAACTTTGAAGACCCGAACACTTTATAAAACAAAACAACAAAAGAGCTAATAGTAAAATGAGAAGAAATCTGTCAAAAAACTAAATTGCTTATTAAGTCTGTATGATTGTTAGAAATGATGACAAATACAGAATACAAAGAATTGTTTAAAAGTTGTTTAAAAAGGAAATAATCTGCTCAAAATTCATCCAAAGTGCTCGTTTCACACAAACTTCCCGAGTTCACTGTTTGTTGTACAGTTGTGAATATAACATGAAATATCCATAAGATATGTCACTGAGTTTATTAAATCATAGACAAGTGGTCTCTTAAATAAAAAGCTTTAACAGCTGCGTTAAAGGAAGGAAAACTGATGATTTAATGGCTGAATTGGACCTTTGTTTGGAATACAGATCCTCTCTGTGTTCCTTTTGTATGAAACAAACCTTTGTCTTATTAACATGTCTAATAATTATTTTCAGGTCTTGCCTGAACCTGAGAATCCACAATACCCTGACAAATGAAGGATGATCGACGGAGCCAAATCTCAGTGTGAAAGCTTCGGTTATTAATACAAACACATTCGGCATCATTAAAAATACAGAAAAGTTTCATTCCTTCTCTCAAAATGTGCCACTTCCATTCAGTTTGTCCCAATTCGATTCTTCATAATTCAAATGATGATAGTTCATACATAATTCATATTTATTATCATAAAAAAAGATTTTACACTGTTACCAAATGAAATGATTACTGCCTGGAGGCTCATACACTCTCTCATACAGCGTTGGTTGTATTAAGGGAGGTTCTGCCCTCAGTTATCAGTTTTACTGTTCCAGACACTTTAACCTCTTTAAGTTTACAGTCTTTTACTGTCGTTGTTTTTCACTGTAAAATCTACACACACTTTTTGATTTGGTTTGGTTCCAGCTCTCCTGTTTGGATCCCTTTCCTTTTGCTATTGTTATGACACACACACACACACACACACACACACACACACACACACACACACACACACATTGTACTGATCTCAGAAGGACACAGTGAAGTTAGTTGTTTGTTAAGTTTTTTTTTTTAAATCTAAGGCAGCTTGTCATTGGTCAGTCACATACACACACACATACACACATACACACACACACACACACACACACACACACACACACACACACACACTGCTGACCTCTCCACTCTGCTGTGTCTCCCATTAACAGAACAGAGACCTTTGGTGGAATGATCTCTATCTGTAGTGTGAGAAAGGTTTACGAGGCCACCAATCACATCACTTCTTCCTCTTTCTTTCCTCTTTCTTCTCTTATCACTTCCTCCTCTCCCGACATCCTTCCTCCTCCCCTCTTCATCCTTTCCCCTCCAATCACTCTCTCCTTTTTTTCTCTCTTCCTCCTAGAACTCTCTTTTCTCTCCCCTTCTGTTAAATCCCTCCCTCCATTTTACACTCTCTCTTTCTTTACCTTTAACTCATTCACTCCCTGTAGTCATCCTGTCCTAAAATCCTTTCATCCCTTTTTTCTTTACCTCCATCCATCTACTTCTTGTCATCCTCTCTCCTCCCTTTGTCTCCCTCCCTTCCTTCATCCCTTTCCTGTTTTTCTTCCCTCCATCATATCAGTCTCTCTTTCCCTGCACCTTATTCTCTCTCCCCATCCCTAAATTCTCCTCCCCTTCTCTCCCTCTGTCTTACATCCTTAAATCTTTACCTCCATCTCTCTCTCTCCAGCAATTCTCTTTTCCTCTCTTCCAGTCTTACTCCCTCTCTCCTTCCCTTCCCTTCTTTCCCTCCATATTTCTTCTCCAGTTGTTCCCTTTCTCTTATTTTCCTCTTTGCATCTCTTGCCCTCTCTCTCCTCCTTCCTCCTCACATTTTCCTCTCTTTTTACTCCTACAACTCTCCTCCTTTCTCTCCCCTTCTTTCCTTCAATCCTTCTTCCTTTTTTCCTCCATCCATTCCATTCTCTTTTTAAATCTTACTCATTCCCCTCTCTATAGTCGTCCTTAAATCATCCTTTCATCCCTCCTTTTTACTTCACCTTCATGCATCTACTTCCCTCCAACCTGTCTCTTCCTTCTTCCCTTTT